GGTCAGTTGAGGAAACAGAATATCTGTGATAGTGTGGGGGCGGGGGGGGGGGGTAAAAGATTTTTTTGTGGGTGGCAGTGGCATACAGTTCAAAAAGGAGTTTTTATGGAGTTTTCAGATGGAGTTGAGAATATAGTAGCCATACATAAGGGTTATTTTGTCTCCTTTGGACAGAAGGGTCACAGGGGACAAAAACACTTGCTTTTAGAATAGCAAATTCTTACTTTCAATAAACTTTAGTCTTTCACATGGGTAAAAGATTTTTTTGTGGGTGGCAGTGGCATACAGTTCAAAAAGGAGTTTTTATGGAGTTTTCAGATGGAGTTGAGAATATAGTAGCCATACATAAGGGTTATTTTGTCTCCTTTGGACAGAAGGGTCACAGGGGACAAAAACACTTGCTTTTAGAATAGCAAATTCTTACTTTCAATAAACTTTAGTCTTTCACATGGCTATGCTGCTTTGCCCTTTGACTTGCCTGTAAGGATTACAGTATTTTCCTTATAAAATACTTGGATAAGGTAACAGGTCTAACGAGACTTTTTTTTTCCATTGGATTCAAGAGCAGGTGATTTGCAACTTACTTTTTTTAACATATTCCAAGAGTCCTGTTGGCGACTGAAGTTTGATTTAAAAAATTTAGGAGAGTCTTGATGCTCATATCACTGTGGAGTACAGAGCTGTCCATTTGTCTTTTTTTAGTTTAGCTGAGGGATGTTTTAAAACATACTTGTTCTAATCTAATGTTTATTTAATATGCTTACATAGGAAAATGGAGTACTCTGCTCCTTCTTTTCCCAATCTGTTTTGAACCATATGAGGAAGACTGAAATAAAAGTAAAAAAAAAAAAAATCTTTTTGTTGAGTAAAAGGCTTATTAGCAGAAAATCCATGGCTTCTGCCAAAGGGCTGAAAAGTGCCAGGCTTATAATGCTTAGGTTTTTTTTTCCTTTTCTGATGCTCCTTTTCTTTCTCCTGCTTCTCCCTTACCCCCCCCCCCCCCCCCAAAATCAGGGATTTGTAGGTCAGTAATGAGCATAACAAGCTCATAACAAACCCACAATTGAAAGAAAAGCCTAAACATCATTGAATTAGATTCTTATAGTCCTCCTGTTTTAGCTATCTTCCTACAGAAAGCTATGTAAAAATGCATGTGTTGGTTATCTTGAATTTTAACTCCATAGATGGTAACTTAGTTTAGATTTGGGAACTTGTATCAGATCTGGAAATTCAGAGAAGAGGGTGCTGACCTGGCATGATGTGCATCAGGTAGCTCTCTCTTAATTCATGAAGAGCTTGCCGCATTTTCTCTCTCTCTTTCAAAGCAAAGCTGGATATTGCCAAGTTGTTATTCTTGTCTTGGGCATCTTGAGCCCAACTTGATTAGAGTGCCACTGTCCCGATGTTCTTGGGGCTGATGTTGACTGATGGTTCCATTGGCAGTCTGTTTCAGAAAAGCATGTATTTGCCTTAAAATGGTAAATTCGTATATACTATGGTTTTTGGCAGCAGCTCATTGGATGGAATAAGATGCAGTACTGTTGCAATTTTAGAAGTGTGTAGAATATTTTTAGAACTGTCTTAAGTTGCTAGCTGCTGGAGTGGAGATAGCTGTTCTCTTTTTTTTCCAAATAGCTGCAGCGCTTGGAGCACTGGCCACTCACGGATAGGTTCTTTTGGAATAGCCTGGGCTTAGTGGCACAAGGTCGCTTAAGCTGCTTGTTTTAGTTAATTTAGGGAAGCTCAGGAAAGTTGTCAGCACCCATATATCTGATAGAACACCATCTCCTTTATTAATGCTAGGCTCTCTGCCTGACAGCTTCCATGAGGCCTGAGGTTGGAAGGCCTCTCGCCTACGGAGCGCTTAAAGAGGTGCTCTGTGTACGGGTGATGGGTGTGCCATGGAAGCTTTCGCTTTACGACGCCGTAGGCTTGGTGACAGGTATTTTTCTTCTTTTGCCCACTGCTGTAGCTTTATTTATGGCAGGAGAACTAGAGAAGACCTAATGCTGTTGTCTTTTATTCTTGTTCTTCACTATTCTTGTTCACACCTGCTCTGAGCATTGCAAATGTTTTTAAACAAAATGTCACAACAAAAAGTGTGCACATTCTGGCAGCCTTTCTTCCCCTCCCTTCACCCCCTTTGCTACTGCGGATTGAATTGCCTACAGTAGTGTAGCAAAGTGAGATCTGAAGAAATGGGCGGTGTCTGTAAGGCCTTAGGAGGGTAAAAGGATTCAGTAATGTTTGTGCTTCTGTGATTCTCAAAACGGGTATCACTTAGAGTTGGTTTAGTGATGTGGTTGTGCATCCCCTGGCGAGCAGACTTGGATAATTTTCCCTGGGCAATCAAACAGGAATAGCAAGTGCTTTACTCTTCTGGATTTGTCAACTTCCAGAGTGTGTATGCCAGCAAAAAACTGGAAGTGTCTAGGTATGCAGTCCTTTTACCCTATAACCATGACAATAGTGTCCATAGAAGTGAAGGAAAGGACGTTTTACTTATGGATCAGGTTGCTTTTAGGCAACCAGCTTTCTTCCATATAGTTCTGCCAATATACCTCAATCCTGATGTGTATTATGCTTTTTTTTTGAGTTGTCAGCATCTCTAGCGGAGGTTTGCTAAATTTGAGAATATAGTGGTGCAGGCAGATATGTGAGAGAGGAGTCTCCAAGACTAACAAATCAGTTAACTTTATAACATACTTGTGGTTTGAGAGGGTAGTAGTGAAGAGCCACTTCACCAATGCACCATGTCAGTTAATGGACTGGGATTGTGTATTAAATCCATCTCCACCTTTCGTGTATTGTCAGTCATCCTAAACTGTGAAGCAGCTGTGGGTTTTTTTTCATTTGGAGAAGGCCTAGCCCACTGTGGGTCATCTGGTAATCCAAAGTAAAATGAACTTCTCAGCACCTTTGCAAAACACTTGAGAGCAACTTTTTTCTCACATAAGTGAAAATATGGCACAGGTTTTAATAGTCTCTTGATTATTGCCTGTAAGAGGTCTTTGCACTGGTTGGCATTTTCTGTGTGTGTCGGATGACTTTCATGGATGCTTGAAGGGAATTGGTTTTTAGATGTAAACACTTGAACAACTGAAGGACTTGGCTTGTGAAGCTGTTCGTAAGTGCACTCTGAAATCTCCTTTGGACTGTCCAGGTGCAGTAAATAAAAACTGAAATTTTCCTGCTAGGGGGAGACAGTTTTTTTTTTATATTTCAGCCATGCTGGTCAGTGGAATATCTTTAGGTTTGTTGCCAAAGAAATATTTCTGGTAAGTACAGTACCACATTATCTCCTTTGAACTTGCAACCTGTACCAAGATGGAGAAGCTGGCAGGTTGATACTGTCAGCTGCTTCCATAACAGTGACCTTGGGAGGTACTACAGCTACTCGTGACATAGTGCACATGACAAAATTCATTGGGTGACAGGTTTGACTATCAGCTGCTTCACTCTGGGATAGTCATGTTTTTTTCCTACTATCTTTGTGTTAACTGTCCAAGTGCAACATCTGCTGATACCCCTCTAGAGCAGAGCAGTATCCTGACATAGAACAGATGCTTCCTCATTGCTGGAGCATAAGGACAAGTCTCCTAGTGTATTGCTGCTGATACTGAATGTACCGAATTTCTGATTCGGAGTAATATTGTAGCGGTATTTCCCATGAGAATCCAGAGGTAACAACCAACACCAAAGGGAAATTGGGGGTGGCGGAGTCTCACTTTTCTTTTGTTTTATTTTTAAAAGAAGCTTCTTGTCAAAATCATAGCAAATACATCTTAAATACATGGACTAATACAGCGGTTTTCAAACTGTGGGGTGCACCCCCCTGGGGGGCGTGAAGGAACGTGGAGGAGGGGGCCACGGGCAAGACATTTGCAAGGAGCTGGCACCGCTGCAGCCATGCAGGAGGATGCGGGGCTGGGGAGCCTGGGCAGGCTCCACCAACTGGTTGCTGTACCTCTGGGAGCTCAGCGTGGTGGGCATGCAGCCTAGAGCTGCAGTGGGGCCAAGCCAGGTGGCGGAGCGGCTGGCTCTGCTGAGCTGAGTCCTATTGCGGTGGCTGCTAGGATGAGGGCTGTCCTGTGCCTGGCTGCACTGCTTCTCCTGAGTGGGGGGGATGACAGCAGGGGTGGGCATGAACAAAATTGTAACTCAAAGCAGGGCTCAGCTGAAAGTTTGAAAACTTCTGGACTAATACGTGCTTCAACAATATGTTCAGCATGGGCGTTGATCTCAGATTCCAGTTTTAATTTTTGTTATAATGCACCTGATCTGTGTTTGTCCTAACTGGATTGAAATTCTGAGGTGTTTTTGTTGGGTTGGGTTTTTTTTTAAGTGCCTGAGGTTGCCAGTTCAAGACAGATGAATTGGTAACACTTGAACAACACCACCACCACTATGCAGGTGTTATTAAGAGCTAACTATTCCTTCCTTCTCTATACAAAATTAAACCAAAGTGGAGAATGAGTTTCCTAAAGTCTCTCTCTTGTAAGAGTTTGAATGTGACAACTTATCTGCCACACTACTCAAATGCACCCAAAAGTTAACTTTAGCGTTAGAAATATTTACCTGATCATATCCAAGGTGGGTATGGGTGGGGTAGCAATATTTTGTAGTTGTATGCAGATTACTGTAGTACTTTTTCACTTCTACAAAAATCCAATTTCCCTTTGAAAGAACTTGAGGAAAATTCTCTGTGTAGCAGGTTTTATAGGGTCATGCTATTCAACAAGATACAGAACGTTGATCTCTAGCAGTAGGTCACTGTCTTGGATAATTAATTCATCAAGAATTCAGAAAAAGGTAACCGTGCAATGTTTTTAGATGTTACTCAAGCAGGGAACTGATGGTGTAATTCGGGAACTGTAAAGCTACAGAGGAGCCATAACTGCAGTTGTCTTAATCTGCATTATAATTATGTTAATGGTGCCATATGTTAACTTCATGTTTATTTCTCTCTCACTTCTCCAATTCAGTGATCATGAAAGGTGCCAGGTTGACAACCCTGAAAACAGAAGCCCTACTTGTCCACAGAACAGGTACAGCCTATTATACAACATCTGTATAAAATGTCCTTTGGACATTGCATCTCTACTTCTGATTTTTCAGAAATGTCTTCTTTTTGGGGGCAGGAATTTGAACATTTTTTACATGTCAGAAGTAGATTTAAAAAAATGGAGTCCTTACCAATGAGTTGATAGAGGTATAGAGATTTCAGCCAAGAAGCCAAGCCTCTCTTGCCACGTGCCAGTTTTGGGGAGTAGTTCTGTGTCTGGGAATTTATTAGGAAAGAAACATTCAGGTTGTAGCTAGTAAGTGTTTTATCTGGAGCACTTTTGTAGCTGCTGGAAAAGAGGGGTAGTCTTCTGGCTATTTTTGCTTCTCTAGAAGCTGTTGACTGTTTTGGAGAGAGGGTTTTCCACAATCTTACCTTTTTTTTTTAACCTTTTTGTTTTCGAGGGTTTTTTCTCCCTTGAATAACTGTTGTGTTAGTTTCCTGTTCCAATTTCCCCTGTGGTATCAGAAGTATAAAGTTGATTTGATTCCTTACTTGTTGCTGCTCCCAGCATTAGTAGTGAACTGTTCTACTTTCATCTGTTGCTCCCGAGCAGTAGATGTTGCAGCTCCCTGCAGATTTGGGAGGAAGACACTAAACTCTTATTGCTTCAAGTGAAAACAGATGTAAAGTCAAGACTGTGCATTTCATTTTTAAGAAGTTAAGATTAACTTAATCTCTTCTTGCTATCATTATTCCTAAGAATTTCTGTTGATGCTGAATATCCACCCATTTTTCCTTCAGTATGCTTTGAGGCCTGGTAATTTTGCTTCCCTAAGCAGTCAAAGGAGTTGCTATTGTGTGATGTCAAACTAGGAAGAATAGGACACTGTCAGAAATTCAGTAGCAATCTGGCATATTGCAAAACAAAATCTGACCTGTGTAGGTGCTTTGGGATTGTGTCAGTCCTTTTAACTCTAAAGTGTCTGTCTGAACTGTGGACTGTTAATCTCTAAGCATGAACATTTGTTATCATTGTTCTAGAATTCAGTTTCACCTATTGATCCCTAATTAATTCTCATTCTGTATATATAGCACCTGCCTTAATTTGGCCCCAACCTGGTTGCAGCTTCTAGACACTACAGTAAATACCAGTATTACAGTTGTACTGCTACTGAACTCTACCCCTTGTGCTGGATTGTCCTCACTTCTTGAAATTAGTGTTAATATTTTTCCTTTATCTCTTCTGTTTTGCCACTTCCCAAAGCTGGGAGTAGTTAGAGCTAAAACATATCACAACAGTACAGTCTATTTGGTGTCTTTGCTGCAGACCCATGCATTTTACTTTTAATTCTATCTTGTTCCCAAATACCAAGTTTAAGACTAAACATATCCCTTATGGAATATGGCTTTGCCCCCTTTTTGTCAGTCCACATACATTTCATGTTGTTTTAATCTAAGTTAATGAGTTCTTTTGTGTATGTGAAAAAGCAAACAGTTCTCAAAAAATACAGTTTTTAGTTCAGTATTATGAGAGAGAAATGCAAAAGTCAGGAAAATTGAAAGCAATGGTTCCCACAGTAACCAGAACCTACTGGCCTGCCTGTATTCGTATTACTGTGCGCTGCTAAATTTGACTTAATACATGTGGCACAGCGAAGTAACAGCAGCTGTGGAAACCATAACTGAATTTCCTAACAGCTGCTGCTTGGCCACACTGCATACATTAAAACACCAACCTAACAGTAACGTGAAGCACAGGACAGTGGAATTCCCGGTACTGTGGGAACCATGCCTTTGAACTTCTGATTTGTGAATTTTCATTGTTAACCATAACCTTTTGGGGAGAATGTATCTGTGGCTGCTTGCTTTGAACAAGTTAAGTTATGAATATTGAAGCTGATTAAAGGACGTCCTTGTTCAGTAGCTTCTTAGAAACAGATCTCTAGTTTGAAAGATATTGATAAGTGTGAACTTCCCATAAAAAGCTCTGGGCATGCTGATAAAAATGGTTGCAGAAGGCTTTTATTGGGAGCTTCTTGCCAAACTTCTGTTACATTGCATCTGCCACACTTGGCAACAGTGGGTGCTATGCTATTGAAAAGGGTTCCTTGCAATTTGAAAAGCTTGCTTATCCCATCTATATGTAGAGGGTTCAAAAGTGCAGCTTGTAACAGGTGCATGTCACAACTAGAAACTAGAGGCAAATAAAGCCTGATTCTTCACTGGTTTTAGGGGCAGACCTCCAAACTGTTGGATGTCCTTGTGTCCTGTGTGGATCCCCAAAGAGAATAGACTTTTGTACAAGCCTGTAGTAGAATTGATAAGAAATTTCCTCTCTGAGCTATTACAGAAGCTGCTGCTTTATGTAATCTTCTGCTGACTGTCTCTTATCCCTTTTTAAACTGTTCTTCATTTTCTCTGTCCTAGTAATATGACTTCTCACTTGTGGTAAATGATAGGTTTTCTTATTTAGCCTAGGGTACTGACTTTTAGCTACTGGGACTCATATTTTTACAAATATGGCTTCAGGCTTGCCATATTGCTAAGTCTGTAATGGCTTTTCCAATCTGGGTGCAATGGTCAGTTTAGCTATAACTTGATTTGTAGAATAACTTCTTTCCTAAAAGGAGATTTACTAATACCATTCCTCACTTGTAGTTGGAGAGATCTGCGCATGGGTCACAGGTGATGGCCAGTGTCCATTTGACTTGGATTCAGTCAGGATGCTTTCTTGGTGTTAAATATGCAAAGATTTCATTATTTGTAGAATGCAGCTTGTAGTCAGAATAAAAGATTTCTGGCTTGTTGTGTTCAGATTTTTAGCTGTGTCTTGTTTCATGAAGGCCAAGCAACCAATCAATGAAATGTCACTGTTGCTATTCTGAACACATTATTGTATATCCTTCTCAAGTTGGTAAATTGACCCAATTGCATTTCTCACATTTGTACATGTTTTTATACTGCACTTAACTACTGTATGAGAGAGGGTTCGCAAGAAAACAAAGACGGGAATTATATTGTAGTAAATTTGTAGCTGGAAGCCAAAATGGATGCTTTTAGCAGTGGCTGTAGGTCCACGTGTTATAAATAGGATTTTGAAAGACTAACCCAGTAACATTTTACCGCAGTATAAAAGCGGATGGAATCGTATCTCGGTGTTGCACCTGTGCCTAGTAATGTAAACATGGCAGTACATGTACTGATGATGTTCTTAGACATCTGTATTCAAAATAAGATATCTATCTCAGATAATGTTACTAAAATATCTTGTCATCAGGTGACCAAGTCAGCAATGTTTTGTTGAGTTTCCCTCTACGTTACCAGAACCGAGAGCAATTTATAGCCTAGGAGCAAGAAACCTAATGAGATGAGGTTACAGGCAATCCTTGTATAAATTCTTCTTATTCAGCTCCAATTCTGCTGTCCCCTTTCTGTGGGTTGAGAAATGCCCCATGGTTCATGATCTGGCATGCTGAGATCTTCCTCTGTTCATTCTGTGGTTTTGATTTTATTTTAGCTTTGCTGTGTTCTCTCATTTTCCTGTTCCTGACCCACCGCTCCTCAGTCCAGTCACTCAACATGCTGTTGCTTTTTTGTTAAGCTTTGTTCACTGAAAGGCTGATGAGTAGCTGAACTAACAAAGTTAAGCATGTGTGTGGCTTAACCCAGTTAAGCTGGGTTGGATTGTGCTTTAGGGAAGAGTCATGGGAACAAGAAAGTGAATCTGGTGGCAGGTGGAGGCTGCAGTCTAGTGAGTGTGAACTTTTTAGAGGGTCATCCACATTAGCTCCCAACTGTGGGAACAGGTAGGATTGGTGGCTTTCAGAGAGCTATTAGAATCTTATTCATAGCTACCGTCTCTCAATTGTAAGTGGCTGTCCTGGTCTAAAACTAAAGACCCAAAATGGTAAATGAAAGGCTTTTATCTGGGTGCTTTGACCAACGTTTTCTGGAAAATGTGTTTAATGTACAAAGCCACGTGTGACATACTGGTGTTTGAAGTAAGTATGGAGCATTGGAAATAGTTTATCCGGTGCATATGACTTCCTTGCAGGTAAAATATCCTTAGTGACAATTTCCATCTAATGTTATCAGAGAGGTAATCCTGTAGCAAGCAATAGAGAAGTGATGAGAGATTTAAATATGGGGAAAATTAAGTAGTTTATTTGTTTTAATATCTGTGCTCTGTTCTGTCCCTCTAGTGTGGTAGAGGCACTAATGAGGAACCTGCTGAAGTTTTAATGTGCATGTTCATGTTAGTCCGTGCTTAAGCATTTAGTAGACAGAATGGCCCAGCAAGCAAATGTTGGTGAGCTCCTCTCAATGCTGGATTCTTCGGTTCTTGACATGGAAGATATAACAGCTGCCTTCAAAGACAACCTCAACTCTGGTATGTGATCCTTATTTTTAAATTGCTTCTGTACACCTTCCCACCTCAAGCAAAAAATGTGACGTCTTCTCTGCATCTGTGACTTCACGCCAGTGAGCTCTTTGGATGCTGAAAGCTCCCTTGTTCTCTTGGCTAAAAATTGAGTTTCTTGGCATGTCTGATATTCTGCAGTTTAGTTCTCTAAAACAGTCTCCTTGATCTTGTTTATAAGGTCACTGGGATTTTCCGTGTGTGTGCAGTCCCAGGTTAAAAGGTTTATGAGCCATGACCAGTTGAAACTAGATGAAGAGATGCTTTTGGTGAAACAGGAAATGAGTCATGCTATGTTTTTGGAATGAATAAAATTATTCTTCATTTTGCTGCCTAAATGCAAGAATAGATAGTGCCACACCTTTACCTGTTGGTTTGAAACTATCTGAAAGGTGAATTTTCTAATCTTATGTTCAGTTCATTTCTGTGCTGTCCCATCAAGTTGTGAATAAAATCAGTGGGATGCTTAGGGACTGGAGAAAGTAAGTGGGAATTCTCTGTTAAAAATCTGGGTAATGTCTACAGTACTTGTTCAAGTTTGTAGTCATTACTATAGTTATAGTCTTGTACAATGTTCTTACTACAGAATATGTATGCATTAAACTTAACTGTTTTTACTACCCTGCTTTCTTGTGCCCAACCAACTACTAGACCGTGGACCTATGCTTGTGAACAACCTAGTAGATTATTTCTTGGAATCCAATTCTCAGCAGGCATTGCACATCCTGTCCAGCTTGCAAGAGCCTCATGACAAGGTAAAACAATGTTGGCTGTAGCAGAATTTCAAAATACAGCAGATACTAGCATTGTAGAAGCTTCTGAATAGTGCCAATTCTTATTTTTTTTAATGGTTAGATCAGTTGATCTAGGGATCTCTATATCTGTATAGTAATAGTAGGCTGTTTTAAATAAACCCAATCAAACAACCCCTTTAAAGGAAAGGCTTCATGCCTGTTTCCTGGATTATCTAAAGTGGCTTGATGGCTGCAGTAGACTTCAGTCAAAGCTCCTGAAAGACCTGTTTCATGTGGAATGTAATAGGCTTTATTTATAGTATTATTGATTATCAGTGGCAGCAGCAGATTATTTAATGTTAGGTTCCTTAGCTAAAGAGAAGGGTATCAGGAGCACAACTTGAAAAGCAGAAAGGGATCCAGCAAACAAGTGAGCATGTCTAAATGAACTCATGGCAAAACTAATGGGGTTGGAAATATTTGTTCTGCAATGACTGAATCCTGATGCAGAATGATCTGCTAAGCCCAAGTGGCAGATCTTGGGGTGAATAACTTAAGTTACTCAGTGGCAGTATTTAATTGTTCCCTTGGGTTGCAGGTTCTCTGGATCCCTAAGTTCACATTTATAAATATCATGTTTGTTAATTCCTGTAGCTAAAGATACAGACTACTACACCAATTCCAATGGTGCCAACTTGTTTAAGGAGATCACTATAATTATTTTGTAATGTGTTAATGTCTTTTTCCACTCCTCTCCCTTATATTCTGTTTCAGCACCTACTGGATAAAATTAATGAATATATGGGCAAAGCTGCTACCCGTTTACCCACTCTCTCACTATTGGGTCATGTGATAAGACGACAGCCATCTTGGAAACACAAGCTTTCTCAAGCGCCTCTCCTACTTTCGTTACTCAAGTGTCTCAAGGTGAGAAATGAATCAATGGTATCAGTGTATTGCATGTTTTTATAAGGGGCTGATCACTGTCTACTCTGCACTGATTGAATGCAGAAATTCTTGGCTGTGTGCGCGTCTGTGTGAAGTAGCTTGTTTTCAATCCAAACCTCTAGACATGCCATAAGATATTTGAGTTATCTTATGAAGGAACTGTTTTGTTTTGTCGTACCTTGCTAATTCCAGTCCTGGGGTGGGGGTGCTCTGTCCTGCAACTCGCTTGTAGAGGGATCCTGAGGAAGGTGCTTTACCTCCATTTGCCTTGGTTTTCCTAACTGTTAAACGGGTAGTAATCCTGTAATGTGTGACAAGGGTCCTAAGCGAATTGATTGAAATTAGGAAAACACATTGAGATCCTTGAATGCAAGGGACAGAAATGTACATCATTAGTGGTATAAAGATAATGCTTAAAAAGTTTTCTCAAAGTTTGTTGCATCATAATTGGATGTCAGAGAAAAATAATGTGCTTGCACTAGCACACAAATTTCCTGCGTGGCAACTGGTTTTTGTTTGTACCTTATTATATCAGCTAAAATTTAGCTTGCTCTTGCTGCTTAATCTAACTAAAGTGTTCTACCTGTCAATCCACTTTTTGTAGTGCAAGACAAGAGGCTTCTACAGTTGTTTGCAACTTATTTTTTTTTTTTTAAATTACAAAATGGAGACCTCCAAGCAAGCAACATTTATATTTGGGGACATCTTTGGTTATGGATTATACCATACAACTGTGCCTTCACTCACCTAACATCAGTGTGTCGTTTCAGCAGTGCTTAATCTTCTGGGTATATGTTTCAGCATTCCAAAGCTGTCTGTGCATTCGAGCAGTCTGGCAAGTTGAATGACTGCTGCTAGCGTCAACTTGCATCAAAGCTCTAAATTAGGATACGGTGGACTATGCAGTTGCCCAGATGGGTTCATTTTATCACACATGTGGTCATGTTGTGACGGGTATCTTGGCTAACATATTGCTGCACAAAAAAGGCTTGGAGGCATTAATGATGAAATGAAAAGAGAGATTAATATGAGGCTTCTGAGCCTAATGTATGTCATATGCCAGCTATATGGGACACCCAGGTCAGGTTTCAAATTTCAAATCTCAGACTATGAAGGAAGGGTTTGCTTAGTTCTGGGAGGAACCTAAGGTAGGGTGCTTCATATTGCAGTCAGGGTTGCTGGTTGTAACTGTGTTGGTAAAGGAGCAATGATAAGACTGCCTTTGAAGTAAGCCTGGCCTTTAGGTAAAAGTTCAGCGGCAGAAAGGTGTGTTAGTAGCTGGAATCTCTGATCTTCTTTTGAAGATCCTTGGGGCTAAAGAGATAATTACCTCAGTGAGCCAAGGTAAGGTGAGTTTAAATTAGGTAATCTCCATGTAAGGAGCTTTCACAGGTCATTGGCATGCAGTGTTTGCTGAATCCTGGTTCTGCATCTGGACAGAGTGAAGCTTTACCATTTGAATTGACTAATACAGCTTTTCCTCCTTGCAGACTGACACAGATGTAGTAGTACTCACCACAGGCGTTCTAGTGTTAATAACAATGCTGCCAATGATTCCACAGTCTGGCAAACAGTACTTGCACGACTTCTTCGTTATCTTTGGCCGTCTCTCAGCCTGGTGCTTGCAGAATCCAGGTGAGACATCTGACTGTTGCTTGCAAGTATGTTTCGGTAGGATTGTTCAGACTAGTGTTGAGCCCTTCAGTTTGTGGGTCTAGGAGTGGGATGAGGTTAGGTTTTTAAATGCGGAAAATGAGCTCCTAAACTCTGTAGTTATCCCTTTCTTTTGACATAATGGGTGTTCCGTGATACAGCACTCAGAAATACCTGGTTTCACATGGTTTCAGATGAAAAGTGCTGCTGCTGCCTCTATTGCAGATGCTACTGGGCAGGAATTGAATCACAATAGCTCTGAGTAGGCTGCAGCTGCTGCTGGTAAAGAAAAGGATGAGAGGAAAAACTACTAGCAGTTGAACCAGGTGCTGGAAAAGTTGGAGAGTTTCTTTGGAGTGATTGCTGAGGAGGGATATAAGAATTCAGCTAATGCCTCTCATCCGATAACTAGTGGAATAGTGGTGTTGGACAAATCAATACTAGATGGAAAAAGTCTATATTCTTGCCACTTATCCTAGGATTATTCTAAGACATTTGAGATGAAGGACTGAAAGCTTTGCATGTGTGCATATCTTCTGGTTGTATGGCCTTCTGGACAAATGACACAACTGAAAATGTAGGGTGTAGTTTAGAAGCTCATTTGGGCATTGACTAATATTTTAGCTGCTCATACAGGCCAGAATGATCTGTTAATTACATAATTCTAACTTGTAACTCATTTCTGTGGGTATTGGATTTTTATTTGACTTTGAGCTGAAAGGGGTGTCCAGTGTCACCCTGTAGACTAGTTACTGAAAACTGTCTGCCCAAAATTGTCCAATCTGAATGACCCGTGCTTTGCTTAAAGGATCGGAATCAATATACTGTTTCATGCTAGTCTCTTCGGTTATGAGCAGGTTTGCCTCTCCGTTCATACAGTCTTGCAGCTTTCCTAGGCTGTGGTACATCAGAACCATGTGTTTTTAAATTAAGATAGGCATTCTCAAGGTTGTTTCTTTTCAAACTTGGTCCAATTGACGACTTTTCTGATCTTGTCTGCAGGAGTCGTTTTACTTCTCTAGTCATAAAAAAGCTCCCAACTGTTTCCCGCAGGTCATGTTCCAGAGATCTATCTTGTACACCTCCATGCCAGTGTTTATGCTCTCTTTCACCGCCTTTATGGAATGTACCCGTGCAATTTTGTCTCCTTTCTGCGTTCTTACTACAGTATGAAGGAAAACCTGGAGACCTTTGAAGAGGTGGTCAAGGTAAAACATTGCTTAAGTTGTCATCATCTAAGGTGAACATGTTATAATTGCAAGAATGCAGTTATCTGCTACGCTCATTATATTTGGATTAAGAGTGCTGTGCAGTGAAACAGAGCTGGGACAGGTTACTGAGAGATTGGAATCTTAATAGCTGCAAGACAGGCTTGAAAAATACAGCAAGTTTCAACAGCTTGGCTGAGTTGTCATACTCTGTTCTCTAAACGAGTAGGTCTTGTGACTATTGGAACTGCTTGGTAAACTCCAGAAAGTAGAACATCAGCATAATGTACCTGAAAAGCTTTGTACCAAATGTGTTTCTGTCTTGCCCCCGCTTCTCCAGCCAATGATGGAACATGTGCGAATTCATCCAGAATTAGTGACTGGATCCAAGGACCATGAACTGGACCCACGAAGGTATATATATTCCCTTCTATTACAAAAAAACTATAAAGAGCTGGTTCTTTTCAGGAGGCACACAACAGAAACCTATGCCTCTCATGAGAAAAGCCTATGCCAATGGTGTTCTGCAATCAATGTTCTAAGGTACCCCAGGTAAAATGTAAGGCTTTTGTTGTCTGGCTTGTAACTGGGGTGAATATGCAAAATTTGTGGGAATAAATCCTATGCAGTTGTTTTGGGCTGCAGCTTTGTTTCTGTTTAGTGAGTAGGTAATTAAAGAACTTGAGGAAAGTAGTTGTCTTTTTTTTTTTTTTTTTTTTTTTTTTTTTAATCACAGTAGAAAGCAATTGGCACTGCTGCATGCTAGCCATTCTCCTTTTTTTTCCTCTTACCATAGAAAGAGAAATCTGTCTCTTAATTCAGTTTGACCTAGAAATTACTCAAATTGGTCTGTAATTGCATCCAATTCTAAACTGTTTTCCCTTTTGGTTCATTGGAATTTAGTGCATAAAATGCCTTCACTATATACCTAGAAACATTACTGGTCACTTCTTTTAGGAGGTTTGTTTTTTAAGTGGTCTAGCTCTCTTTAGAAATAGGCTCATTTGCCTGCAGCAGCAGCACCACTTGCTGCTTTTCTCTTGTTTCCACAGGCCCAGCAACTGAAGAGGAGAAATTGACTCTTGTTCCTGCACAGTAGTGCTCTTGCCCTGCTTTCAGAGCCACTGGGAAAACACTACTAAATGGGAACCCATTGACTATCACAATGTTCAGTTTTTCAGGCTCTTCCCAGCTGCATTTGGTTGGGGGGTGGCAGCACTTCTAAAGCGTTAGATACAGAATTGTCTGTTAAGGCCCATTTGGGGTTAGTATCTTATGCAAACTGTTTTGCTCGAAATTTTCATCTGATGGCCAACAGCAGTGTACTTCAATGTACTTCAGTGTACAATGAGGTTTTGGAAGTAAAAGAAGCAAATGTAGAACACATAACCACAATTGGATTGCAGTACAGTTTAGTCTGGCATTCCAGACGTTAACAAGAATTTCATCTGGTGACCAAAAGCAATGTACTTCAATGTATAGTGAGGTTTCCAAAGTAAAAGAAGCAAATTTAGAACGTGCATAATCAAAATTGCAAGTGCAGTACAGCTTAGTCTGGCATTCCAAATGTTAACTTGCATAATAACTAATAAAGGTTCTGCACAGTTGGTCAGTTGAGATTTGGACCACCACCACCTGAGGCTAGCTGATTTGATTTCCTGATACATTGAAGATCACAGCTGCTCAAGCTTCTGTATGGTGTTTCTCCTTCCCAGAGTGCTCCATGGCAGACCCTAACAGGTCTGCATCAGAGCTGTTATGTCTCTAATTTGGAGCTCCCTCTTATGACTCACCTCATTGTAGTTTCTTTTTAAACTGTTTAAAGCTTCAGAAAGCACATGGAGTGCCTTGTTCATGTTTCAGTTGAAGATGTGCAAAGCTGGCTGACCAAACAAGGCATTCTGCAAATCAGTTCCTGGTATCAATAGGGTCATTTGTTTTTAATCATATTGACTTAGGACTGACTGACTCTTTTGGATCCGAAAACTGTCTGCAGGTGGAAAAGACTAGAAACACATGATGTTGTGATAGAATGTGCCAAAATCTCCCTCGACCCAGCAGAAGCCTCATATGAAGATGGCTATTGCTCTGTGTCACGGAAAATCTCCACACGCTTAAAGCATCATCAAACTGACCTCAGTGCCAGCCATTACAGTGATACACCGAGCAGCTATGGTAAGAACTGAAGGGCATTTCATAGTCTCTTCATCTGTGGAAGTAGATGAGCCATATTGCAGAAGATCATAATTCTTATTAATAGATCCTTCTTCAGGTCCAGATCTATAGAGCCATTTGGTGAGGTGGGGGTGGGTTTACAAAAGTTGCACTTCTGTGTATAGAATTTGCAAAAAGCCTTGAAGAAAAATGTCTCTGGCACTGTTGCAACGTGGCCCTATTTGTAGAAACTATGGAATCCATTCCTGTTTTCATGTGTTTGTGCGTGTGTGCGCTCAGAAATGTTTGTGGTAACTGGCTGGGAAAGCTTTTAGCACTTTAAAGATTAGGCCTCATCAGGGTGTCAGCTGAAACTTTCAAGTCACTAGTCACTGTAGTGATTTGTATATCTTATGTGGACTGGAAGGGATAAATCTGCTACCCAGTAGTTTGATGGTATGCAGGAACAGGTAAGTAGATTTGAATAGTTTTTAAATAAGTTAATATCAGCCAGAAGGCTCATCAAAAGCTATATCAGATTTGATTAACATTCTCATACTTTTTTTCTTACTCCAGGGACTTCTACACCTAATTCCACTCCTCGGCTAACACTATCACAAATGCCAGGGAAGCTACCTCAGACTCTGAGCCCACAATCTGTGCAGCTGTCAACTGAGCCACAGCAGGTAATGCAGCTCCTTGTGGCACTCTAGCACATTTAAACCCTTGGCTCCTCTAATTGGTTTCTCATTTACTAAGGATATTCTTAGTTTTCATTTAAGTATCTGTTGAAGCTTCCTAATATGCCTCTAACTTGCTGTATGGAAGAAGTTCATATTCTTATTTAAAGTGATTGCCAGTATCAAAATCCAAGAGACATGTACCAGACATGCTTGTTTCATGTACGTTTTTCCTTACTTTGGCATTATTGACTTGGTGCTGTTGGTAATCTGTTCCACTTAGGTTACCATCTGGAGCCCTTCCGTAACTTGTGGTATGACCACTCCACCAACTTCCCCTGGAATGATTTCATCAGAGTCCTCGCAAACTTCATCACAACCTTACAGCAAGTTTTTTGGCACAGCTGGTATGTATTATACATCAGAACCAGAAGTTTAATACATTAACCATGAGGGAGAATGTTACAGATTGCTGGAGTATGTGAATGCTTAAAAGGTGCCTGCAGGCTCTTAAAAAATTAGCATTTTCAGAACTTTCTTTTTAAATTGTTTTATAAGCAGCAAACTGCACAAGATGCAATGGTTTTTAACTAGAGGATCATATACTTGATTGCTTCTTTCTGGCTGAGCCTACTGCATGCACTACTGGCTGCTTGCTGCCTTCTTCCCTTCCTCCCCAACTCCTTGCATGCCATCCTTTTGTCCCTCTTTAAATTATCTCCACCATCAGGATGTGTGCAGCCATTCCTCCTTTCTTCTCCCAAAGTCTCCAGTTCTTCCCTCGTGCCCCCTTCCCTACAGGGGCTGTGTTGGTGCCCCATTTCCTGGCTATAAAGGTGTCAAAATGCTTAAATCTATTGAGCAGCTGGGCAAATAAAAGATAGGGTATTATGCTGAATATGTCAGTAGATGCCATCAGTCCCTTTGACCCGTAGCGGTGGTTTTCAACCTGTGGCCTGGAGACCCCTGGGGATCCACAAATTATGTCTAAGGGGTCCGTGAAAGATGATCAATCAAAAGTATGTGACTACCCACACTTACAATTCAGAGGGCTCTGCACCGCCCTAGGAAATGTTTTAGGAGTCTGCAAGTGACAAAAGGTTGAAAACTACTGATCTATAGGCTGCAGTGGTACTTTCGAGCTGTGACTGCTAAGCAAATGGCAGGAGTGCTGTATCCTTGATTCCTCCCAGAGCCAATTAATTTTTGCATATTGATACCTGTCTATAAAGCTATTCTGTTCAATCCAGATGGAGAACTGTTGTCATGTTGGGTGTAAAGGATTGTAAGTTCATCAGACTACAGTCCTGATTCCACTGTTGGATGGAATGTATTGCTCTTTTGAATGTCAAAATGTCCATTGTGAAGCTGCCTTCTGGTAGGTTCACAATGCCACTGTTAAGTACTTACACAGCTTGGTTCTAGTGTGAGTACAGACAGATGATTGGGTACCTTGAGTTAAGGGATAAAGTAAGGAGATGGGTATCCCAAATGTGTTTTTTGAACTTTGAACCTGAGTAAGGCCATAGATCATTCTTGCTTGGGAATAACATTCTTTTATTCTGCCTCTTGAGCAGGTGGGAAAGGGACTCCACTGGGGACACCGGCCACCTCCCCTCCTCCGTCCTGCATTTCAGATGACTTTGTACACGTTTCACCCCCTTCAGCTGCTGCCACGCCTCACAAGAAGGTAAAAGCAAATTATAACTCCCAGGCAAAGCTGACTTCAGTCTCCCGACTAACTTGTCATGAGAATCTCTCTTTCTTCATTCATGGTGGCTTTTGTATAAATTAAAACTGTTTAGTTACGAAAAAGCAGCTTAGGCCTAAACGCACTGACAGGTTGGCCTCTGACTTTAGACAACTTAGATTTGGATCACTGTTTCTTCCACATTTGTTCATTGATTTGCCATTTAAGCCATCTGTCTGAAAGAATTCCCTCTCGCCGAATGTGTGCTAGCAGCTGTTCTGTGATGTCTGTTGCAAAGAATCCTTATTCTCTTCCAGGAGGACAAACCGGATCCTGGGAGGCCTTCGCTGTCCCGACAGCAAAATGTCATAAACAGCGAGAAAGCATTGGGTAAACTACATCCTCTTCTCCCAGCTCTCAATCTTACCCCCAAATAGCAGTCTCTTTTGTGGACAGATGTGTCCAGGTGCCACAAGCTTTTCTCCTCTGCCCTTCTCCTCCTCCTTCCTGTTAATCCATAGTAAGTCGCAGCATCCACTTAAGCTGTGATTCAATTTAAGGTCTTAATAGGGTGAAGTAGTGATTTGTTTCTAACATATTATTCTCTGGCATCAGCAGCTTCTGTGGGCTGCCTTTTTAGCTATCCCACCCCATGTTTGGTAGCTGCAGTTTCAAGTTTGAGCAAAGCTATGCTGAAGGTTGTAAAGGATGGGGAAAAGAGTGCTGAAGTTCTTGCAGTAATTTTCTTTGTTTTCTTTCTTTTTTTTGGAAGCTAGCATGCATTTGTTGCACAGCTGGAAAAGGACCTGTAGTGTCATGCATCCTAGTCCAACCAAGGCTGCCCATACGTGGGAGCATTTTGGAAAAAAATCTTCTCAGATATGTATGGAAGTGGAACATGCTTGTCCCCATTCCTTTCTAGTTCCTTTTAAGAAGTATTAAAATCTTTAGAGGTTGGTTGTGAAATGGGCCTTCTTATTGGAGATGGATCTAGCATTGCCTTTTTTCAAACCTCCCAACCACATAAAGCTGAAAGGATGGAAAACAAATTTGATGGCACAACTGTTAAGATGGTAAAGAATTATTGTAAATGTATCTTTAAGGGTGGAGAAGATGCTTTCACTTTAAGCCTGACTTTCCCCAGTGGAGTTGCTTTGCAACACTGGTATTTGAATTTCCTAGCATATGAGTTAGTTAGAGAGATATGTGAAGCTTTCTAGTAGGCTTCCAACTTTGACTGAGCAGCAAACATAAGGTTTCTTTCCCTGCACCGTGTAGTATGTGCCTCCCAGCAGCTGTCTTGAGCTTCTGATGTGGTGTTTGGTTCAGTCTACACTGCATCCATTCTGTTTCCCTTTTTCTTTTTTTAGGTAAGTACTGCTTACTGAAAATCAGAATTCAGAAAGGAGTTAAAAGCTTATCTGAAAACATAGTGTTTTTGAACCTTAAAGTTATGACTTCCCATTTAATGGGTACAACTGTAAATGATACTTCTCTTTTGTGGAGGAGTCTACCTCATCTCAATCTGCAAGGGCAACTTCAAAACCATACTGGCTGGGTTTGGAGGGATCTGAGACTAGCCCTTAAGGACTCTCGACTTCCAGGTAGAACAGACATGAGGCGAGCTCCTCTTTGGAGGAGTACTGGGAGGAAGAAGGGGCAAGCTTTTTGTAACACCCTTCAAGCAGAACTGGAAGATATGCTATTGTATTGTCAAGTCCTCCTGTGAAGTACAGCATATGTACAACTTAATTGTTTTCTTTTTTTCTTTTCCTTTCAGAAGCACCTGGCAGTAAAAATTCTGTACCATTGAGAGATCTTCCAGAATTTTTAGGTGGTCTGGCCTATGATGAGGACAGCATTGAAAAGGACAAAGAAGAAGGTAACATCTGGTATCTTTATATGGCTTTTACACCGTAACATTCAGCTTCCTTAGGCTTAAAGCTAGTATAGACTGAGATTTGCTCCAGGCTTCGATCGGTTCACTATTATTCTTAATGTCCTCCGTAGGTTAACCTCTGTTAGTTCAGTCCTTGTGGTATTTGCTTTTCTGTTTTATCAACAGCATAAGATGTATAGTTGCAAACTCTTGGAAGAATGCCCATGTTCTCAAGTGTTTGCTACTTGCTCCCAGTACTTGCAGTACCTTTAATCCAAAATATTTTTCTTAGGAAAGATTGACAGGAATGGACAAAGATTTCTGCCAAAATATTTAAAAGTAGGGTGGAGGAGGGAACGTTCCATCCTACGAGGATGAGCAAACAAACCTCTCTCAAAATATATAAATTCTGTCTTCATAGAAAAGCATATCTATGCTTACTGTAAGGAAATGGCATCCCTCCTTAAAGAATATTTTGCAAAGTTTATATGCCAGTTCAAAATCTATTTGGAGGACTAGAGTACCTCTTAGATCTGCAGATTGTAGTGATTGTTTGTTTTAATTTATTTTTTAACCTATATGAATAGACAGTACTACACACTTTTTTTTTTTCCATGTTTGTGATTAACTCGTCTTCATTTTCTTCGCACTTCATCCTCCCCCTCTGTAAATTCAGGGAAGTTTTTTGTATTCCCTGGCTAAACAGAGCAATACATGTAGAAATGTCACTACTTTAAATTGGCATAGCCAAGAGGTTTTCAGTTGCTGTCTTCCTAATTACCTACTCTTATTTGGTTTATCTGAATAGTAGTCTAAAATTTAATCTTAACTTTTTGCTGCCTACCAGCATGTATCCTAAATACTTTGTGTAGGCATTGAAACTTGAAAACATTTTCAGAAGATATTGAGGAATTGATATTGGGCAAGAGCAGGGGGGAAAAAAGTCGTCCTCTCCAGCCCCCCATAAATAAACTTGACATGGTGGCCTGTTCTAATTTTTCTTCAGGACAATTTGCAGGACTTGTATCCCAGGTTATATTGAGCAAGCTGTAGTGTGTACCAGGTAAACAATGCCTAAATCACCCACGGGAGTTAGTTAGGAGCAGAACACACCAATGGTGAAAGGCAGATTGTTTTAATGCAACAGCAAAGAGAGTTTTCTGTTTTGGTTTTAGCTCATCCACCTGGTTCTGTCTTGTCCTTTTTTTTTTTTCAGATGCAATATCAAAAGAAATCTCTGAGATCACAACAGATGCTGAGCCCATGGTGCCTAGAGGAGGTTTTGACTCTCCATTCTATCGAAGTTGCGAGAGTTTACTAGGCTGTCAAAAAAAGCCCCAATCTATAGCCTTGGGTGTTCAGGGACACAGTCTAACCTCTGAGCATTTAACCTCTTCTCTGGACAAACCTGGTCCTGAGGGTACACGAGACACACCTAAACAAGCATTTACTCCTATAGACAAGCCGTCTGGAGGCACTGGTGAGAACCCTGCTGGTAACGGGGAAGGCCAAACCTCTGTGGAGACCAGTATCCTCACTCCTAGCCCTTGCAAAGTACCAGCACAGAGAAGGATAGAGCTTGGAAGTTGGCAGCCTCCCCAATACGAGCATCTTTTTGAGGTTGCATTACCAAAGACTGCCTACCTCTTTGTCAGCAAGAAAACTGAGGAGCTGTTCAAGAAAGCCAAGGGAAATCTGGATGAAGACTGCACGTGTTCCACCTCTCCAGTGGAAGTACTGGATAGATTGATACAACAAGGAGCAGATGCACATACCAAGGAGCTCAACAAGTACGTGACTACAAAATTTGCTTGGCTTAAAGTTATTTTTCCCTCCTTATTCCTTGTCTTGGTAATTGCAAGTCGGTAGGTATGCCAGGAAAGTGGTTGTGTGGAAATGAAGATGATCCACAAATGTTGTTCTGGAATCCTTGTATTACAAAGGAATGACAAGCTTTATGCTGGCATCTTTTCAGACTTTGCTGACTGAAGTTCTGGGAAGTGAACTTCACAGCTAGTAAAGTAAGTAAAATCATCTTATGACAGTAGGCCTCTTGCCATCCTTCCCAACAGAGCTCAGGGATACAAGGTGGACCCATTGTCCCTAGTGTGGCTTTGATGCCTATCATTAACCAGGTAACAACTCCATATAAGGTAAATGCTGTGACCTGTAAGTCTAGAGGTGAGGAGAAGTCAACTTTGCTAGATACCAGAGGTGCCTGGGAACTGGTAAACTGGGTTTAAGCCAAGGGTTAAACCTGGTTTACCCTTCACCTTTCATATCCTATTTTTCTGTCTGCTTCACCCTTTTTCCTAGGCTACTTTCTATACTTAAGACATACTTTTGTCTGCCATTTTCCTTTTGCCATCTTTAAAATACATACATAAAGTCTATTTTTTGGTTTTTTGCAAAAATCTTTTTCTGTGTTTTTCTGTATATCATCTTATTCAAATTATTCTCTAGTGCAGCGGTTCCCAAACTGACAGATTGCGCACCACCAATTTTTAAAACAATACAACCTTAAGTACCACCAGGGAGGGCATGGGGGGGGGGGGGTGTATGGTGGGGTGGGAGGGCATGGGGGGGGGGGTGTGTATGGTGGGTTGTGAGGGGATGTGGCAGTGTGTGTGTGTGTGTGTGTGTGTGTGTGTGGGGAAGCATAGCTGTGGGGGGAGGGGGTTGCGTACATGTGTCAGGGTGGATGGGTACCCCCTGCACTCCCCATGGTGCAGCAGCAGGTGGGGGTGCTTGGGGTGCCCGGTAGGACGCAGCTTCAGCCAGAGCTGCATGTTACAGCAAGGGGCGCATCCTCCGCTGGACAGTTGGTATCACTGGTGCTCCCTGCACTCACCGGGCATGGGAGCGAAGCCCTGCACGCTGAAGCCGACTGCCTTGCCAGCCCCCCAGGGCAGCCCCAGCAGGGAAAGCAGCCAGCTACAGCACGTGGGGCTTACCTTCCTTGCTCGACGAGCGTGAGAGTTGCTTGTGCGCACAGGAAGCGCTGGCGATAGACGGCCCGGCAGAGGCTGTGTCCCTCGCTGTGATGTGCAGCGCTGGCCAGAGCCGTGCCCGGCCAAGCAACTGCACCAGGCACGGGTGCCCCGAGTGCCTCCGTGTGCTGCTGCTGCTGCATGCCACTGGCGGTACACATACCACAACTTGGGAACCACTGCTCTAGTGTACTTGTTAGATGGCATTTGCAGTGGGGAGGACCTGTAACTTACTCTGCCTCATAAATAACGCAATCTTGTGTTTTCATTTCCAGGTTGCCTTTGCCAAGCAAATCTGCTGACTGGACCCACTTTGGAGGTAAGTAAATTTCCCTGGGTTGAGACTTGCCAACTTAATCAGATGTATTTTGACTTGCCTGTATCTCCCACTGTTTGGGTTACTTAAACAGCATAGTTTGTATTGGGGGGGTTTGCACCATGCTGCATAAAAAGCATAGAGAACTTCCTCTCTTACACTACTAGGAATATTGCCACTCAATTTGGCTGTCAACTGAACAACTCTGTTGTATGTATTGGCCTTCATGGAAATGCTGATCCTCCAACAGTTTGTTTTATGGTACGTTATGCAAAAATATATATACTCCTGAAGCTGAATGACCACCTGCTTTCAAATTAGATTTTATCTGGCTTGAAAGGCTTCTTACTCAAATGTTTTCCCACCCCATGGTTCATAATTCTTTGACAGTCCTAACCTGGAACCTTTTCTAACCTTTTATATAGACACCATACAGTTAAGTTTGTGACCTCTGTGCTATTGACCTTTTTCTTGAGTTACTTGGAAAATAAAGAATTAAAGAAGATGAGTGAAGTTTTGGAAGCACAGAACTGGTTTCTTTAAAGTCAAACAGAGTGATAATGCTGTCGCTACTTCTCCTGAACCCTGATGGAGCTCTGCTTAAGTCATCAATTTCAGCACAGTTGGGGCAATCAAATTATTCTCTGTCATGCCGGAAAACTTTCAAATAGTTACAGCATTTAGGAATACTTACAATAAAATTGTCATTCTGAGGTAGAGCTATGAAACTGTTCTGTTTAAAACCTTTTCTCCTATGGTGGCTTTGTCAAGGACATTCTCCTGAAATATTAAACAGACATTTTTTTTAAATGGCCTGGGGCTAATTCTCAATTTGTTGCCATAAAGGGCATGTCCTATAAATGTTCATATTTTTTTCCATCAAATAATCATTTCAGCCACCAGCACAGCAATCCATGAGCAGCTTACAATTGAGGAAATTTGTAGGCTTAGGGAACTATTCTTAATTTGGGGCTTCAGGAAGGCCTTTGTTTTGAACTGAAGGTTGTGTTCTGGAAGAACAGCTAAGGTTAAGAACTGGTTGGTCCCGAGTTCTAATTGTTGCTGTGTCACTGAGTAGATGGCTTCTGTTTCAGTCCCTCTGGCTAAAACTTTGAAGAGTACCCAACTTTCATTACGATTTAATAGGATTTGGAGCCCAAGCTGCATTTTCAAAAATTAACTGCAACTGCTTAACTTCACCCCTGCCTAGGAAACGCAGGTAGTACATTACTAGCTGTAAAACTTGAGTGAGGTGAGAATTAGTCAGAGCAGCAGAAGGAGTTTATGTAAAGTTCTGTACTAATTTTTGAGTGCTCCGTTTCTTTCAGTAGGACACTAAAAAACCGTGAAAATGGAGACTGGCTCGAGTATGGGAAGATGTTTGAAAGTCTGTGTTGGAGGTTACTGCTAAATACTTTGGGGTTTTTTTGTCTGGCTAGGTTCTCCCCCTTCAGATGAGATTCATACCCTGCGTAACCAGTTGCTTTTGCTGCACAGCCAGTTATTGTATGAACGCTTCAAAAGGCAACAGCATGCCCTTCGGAACCGGCGCCTCCTGCGGAAAGTGATCAAAGCAACCGCACTAGAGGAACATAATGCTGCTATGGTGAGGGAGGATATAGCTCTGCATGCCGGGATGTGATGTAAACCAATCGGTCTTAAATCTATGACTGTTTGCCCCGGACAACAGCTGTTGGAATTTTAAAATGTTTAAAGAATGTCATTTGAAATGTTAAAAAACAAACAAACAAAAAAGACAGACCAGTATTTGTAGAATGACCTGTCGATTAATTTAGATTGTAATTAAAGCTAGTATTCTGCCCAGCTTTGTGTCTTGGTGAACACATACCTGCAAATGCCAGAGGGCTTTACTTGCTGAGTAATTATTGCAACCTAACCCATTGTTTCTACCCTGTGGCCTTTGAAATCATTGATGAGAAATGGGGTGGGGTGAAGCAACATACGCCACTGCTAACCTAATTTCATGAATGCAACATCTGTTTTCAATGTTAGTTCTGGTCCCTTTAAAGAAATGGTGTAGAGAAACCCCACCTGTAGCATGTTTCTCATACGTTTGAAGGCTAAAAGCATGCTTTTGGTGGGCTTCTTTTTTGGGGGGGGTCCTTAATTTAATTGGTGACATGCCACAGAGGTTTCTAGTTGAAATGAGAAGATTTGGTCATCTGACTTTTCGTGTATGGTTCTGCACAGAAAGATCAGCTGAAGCTACAGGAGAAGGATATCCAGTTCTTGAAGCTTAGTCTGCAGAAAGAGCAGGCCAGGTACCACCAGTTTCAAGAAGAACATGATAATATAGTGGCTCAGCTTCACAGCCAGATCAGACAGCTGCAGCATGACCGGGAGGAATTCTTCAATCAGAGCCAGGAGTTGCAGGTATGAGGCACGAACGCTGAACAAAGCCATAGTCAAGAGATAATGAAAATTTAAAAATTAACCCTTCTAAAATTGTGATCGAAAATGGCTTTTCTTAGGTGTGTTACCATGTAAAATGGGGAAAGAGAGCCATATGGTCAAGCTGAACTCCCTCCTTTTTGGATCTTTTATTTCACTTAGTGTCAAACTTAGAAATGGCAGATTGCATGGCTTTACCAGATCCTTTGGGAGTAGTGATTACTTTGTTTCATCTGTAACTATTGATCTTGAGGTCCTGGAGAACTGTTGCCTGTTCTGACCAATGTGAAATCTAGGTCTTTAGTACAGTTCTAGAGCTCTGAGTCGCTTGCTTTCTTTGAACAGACCAAGCTGGAGGACTGCCGGAATATGATTGCAGATTTGAGGTTAGAATTAAAGAAGGCCAATAACAAGGTGTGTCACACAGAATTGCTTCTCAGTCAAGTTTCCCAGAAGGTAAGAGGAAACGACTGCTGTTTTGGCCTCTATCCTATATAGGGTTTTTTTTCTACTGCTCTTTTCTCAGATGTTCCTTCTCCGTTTCTAATGATGCATGTAACACTTAATTCCATGATATAGATACAAATGAAGGTGGAGGGTACCAGTTTTATTATGCTCAAGAAACAGCTGGTCCAGTTTTGATACCCTTGAAGTCTTGTGATATGTGTTTGGATTATAGTTCTGCTCGACTTCTGCCTCTTAGCTTCTGACATTGGAAGGGGCTCTAAAGGGACCCCTCATAAATGGAGAAATGGCTTGTTTCGAGAAACAAATGTTTGTGTGGGAAGGTTAACAGACTGCTCCGTTTGGTCTTGTGGGATGCTACAAGTTTAATCACAGCAGCTTTCGGAATTCTGCTTTTTTGTCATTACCAGCTACTGTCTCTGTACATATGGCTTGGCATTTTTCCTTTGTAGAAATAACTTATTAGGGTAATGTAAATCAAAATTAATAGTTATACTATTCCTTGGAGCTCTGATTTTTATTTTATTTTTTTCCCTCTCTTTTTTCGAAGCTTTCTAACAGTGAGTCGGTTCAGCTTCTTGAATAGGCAACTTCTGGTCCTTGGGGAGGTCAATGAGTTGTACTTGGAACAGCTGCAGCACAAGCACGCGGATACAACAAAGGTACAGTGTGCAGGGTCGCAAGCAAGGCCTTTCTCGAAATATTTGCTCCAGGGTTATCAAGCTCAGTATCTTGTTGAAAAATGCAAAGAAAACTTCACAAATGGGTGAACGAACGCAGATGTTGGGCTTGGAAACCAGCTGCCACTTATGAAATAAGCTGTTATGGTTTTTATCTTCCATTTTGGGTTAAGGTTATATCTAACCCATCCTGCAATCATTTATTTTCAGAATTCTGGAAACTTGAATGTTATATTGCTCTGAACTAGATCTCTGTATCGCTCCTTTTAATTTTCAGGATAGTGGAAAAATGATAGTCTTAATCATGTCATATGAGGGCTTTTATGACCAGTAAGTCTTGTTGCACCCTGAAGTGGTCCCGTGTGAATTTGAGAATTACCTTGAAAGCACTTGCTTTTGGTAGCCACACATGCCTCTAGTACTCCTTGTTCTTGCCTATGCTACAATGTGCCATGTAGTAGTACCAGCTGAGCTCTGAAACATGAACTTCCTGAGATGAATGTGGCATAGAAAAGATGATTTTTCAGCCCTAGAACTAGCTTAGTGGAGAGGTTTCTGCTAGGCTGTGCTTCCTGGCAGTAGCCTGTCTACACCAGTGAAAAAGATGGAAATTTTAAAACATTAGAACTTGGAAGTACGTTTAGAATAGAAATTAAAAATTAAGTGTGGTAAATCTCATTTTCATTCTCCTTGTGAAAAGTTTCCCAGTGTGCATTTCAGTTGAAGCACTTGGTTGATCTCTGGCACTTGTTGAGTCAGGAAGCTGCAGAAAATGTCAGAGTAGGCCTGAAAATTCAGTAAAATCTTAGATGCTTAGTAAATTATATTTGCAATGACTTTGTCACTTAAGTAATTTTCCCTGCAAAAAAACCCTTGCAGAATTAACACCACTTTCCCAAAATCCATGCAAACATATTTTGCTGTAGGCCTTTCTTTGATGATATGTCTTGCAATGAGAAGTATCTGGCTCAGTTCTGAAAGATGAAAGGGTTCGCTTGATTTAAAAAAAAAATCAAGTTGGAGAAAATCCTTGAAAAAATGTGGAAGTTTCAAAGAGCTGAGCAGGTAAAAATAGATATATGGTGAGTCTTAACTGTAATCTTAATTCTTGTTGCTACAGGCAACTACTAGACTAGTAAGATGGAAAGGAAATGAGATAAGCAGTGTTTAGCAGTTACCTTCTAGGCTCCAAGATGCTGGCACGAGTGTATCTTAATTGGCAGTAAGCTGGCAAAGATGCACTTGACGTGTTGCCTTGCACAAGCATGAATAGCCTCGGGTAGTATTGCCAGTCTTTGCAAAAAAATCTGAGTGGGATATTCATAGTAATGATTGATGTGAAGTTTTAAAATGCAGTCTCTTAATCCTTGTCACTCAGTCCCATTAAGAAACAAATTCCTGTCAATTGTTAGCTCCAGGCTGCTTTGTGGTACTTCTTTGACCAACTACATGATTTACGTTTCCCCTAATCAAGGAACCCTTTTTAACCAAAAGTGCAAGTGACTCTTAATGCTGTGTACTTGCCCATGTGAGAGAACAAGCACCCAGTGAAGATTAATGGCAAAACAAAAATAATGTTGCCGTTTTCCTGACAGTAAAAATGGTTACATTTGAAAGGCCACCTAAAATGGAAACGCATGGTACAGATCTGTGCAGCTTGCACTTGGTGGACAGGGCTTTCGTAAGGAACACCGATATGCTAAAAAATTCCAGTGATGTGGCCTTGGGTTCACAGTAGTTTGAGGTACAGTTCTCAGTTGCCTGGTTTTTCCTTTTTTCTTAAAAACTGTTGTCTGTCTGTCTAGTTTTAGACTTGATATTATAAAGGCATTAAAATTCTCACCCCATTGCAGCACTTAAAAACCTCATCCCACTTGGCCAAGTAAAAGCCTGAGAGAACAACAGACTTGGACTCCTGAAAGCAAAAGGGAATAAGGGAGGGAAGATTTGCATCATTTTATTCGAAATGACCAAAGTTGAGCCTCACTTTTAATCCTTTAGAAGATGCGAATATTAAACTAAATGGAAAGAGTGAAGTTGACTTGGATATCATTTATTAACCCAGAGTTGTCTTCTCTTCAGGAAGTGGAAATGTTGCAGGTTACTTTTCGGAAAGAACTGGAGAAAGCAAAATTCTACGTTCAACAGCAAAGTCAAAGGCTCGATGCCTCCCAGAAACGGATAATTGAATTGGAGTCTCAGCTTGCAAAGAAAGACCATCTCTTCTTGGAGCAAAAGAAATACCTAGAGGATGTCAAAATCCAAGCAAGGTAAGGGTTTCACTTCAGTAACCGAAGTCTGTTTTACAAATTCAAAAAAGCGCAATGCAATTTCTGGGTTGAAAGTTGAGGGGAACTTAAAACTGATTACAATTGCCCTGTATGTTTAGAGGCCAGCTGCAAGCAGTAGAGAGCAGGTACAAGGCCCAGAAAAGAATTACACAAGCGTTTGAGTTGGAGATATTGGATCTGTATGGCCGACTGGAGAAGGACAGCCTACTGAGAATGAGAAAACTTGATGAAAACGCAGAAGCAGCGGAAGTAGCAGAAGAAAGGTAAGGGCAGTTATGCAAAATCTGATGAACCACTTGCAGGTTGTTTGGGGTATAATGTGGTGTGTTTTATCTATAATCTTTCCAATCTCTTCCTTCACCTTTTGAAGCATTTTCTGCATTTTACAGAGGATGAAACTGAGGCAGAAGGCAGTGGTTTGCCAAGGCCATCCAGCAAGTCAATAGCAGGATTATTAACAGATTAAAGTAGCTTTCTGGTAGCTAAAATATTACTCAGATTTTGGCTGCAAGTGAAAACCACTTCCATTGTAGTAACATCCTTAAATGTTCTGTAGGTGACGTTGTCCATACAGTAGGTCACACCAAGGATAAATCTTATTAATTGGCAACAGCTGAATTTTCTTAAATAACTAATTGCTCCATAACAGTTCAGTTGTTACCATGTATGAGTGAATAACATGAAACTTTCCTCATGGCAGAAATTAGTTGAATGACTTGAGAACTAGAGAGGGCACTGTTGGCAGTACTGTCTGTTTAGATAGGATGTTCTCCAGGGAAATGGTTTTACTGTATTGGCATTCTGCTCTTGCTGGCTTAAATAGGGACTTAAGGATTGCTACTTTCCAAAAAAAGGGATGTTTTGGATCTGATCCAGATTGTGGTTTATTAACCCTGAAAACAGCAGAACCTTAGGACTAAAAAAGGCTTAGGAATTGACGTTCTGTCTTCTGTTTTCTGTCGTGAAACTATTCTGGGTTTTGAGTTATTGTTCTGCATTATGTCTTGGGTATCCTTCCACCACCAACCAGGTCTTGTCAGTTGAGCATAAAGCAGCATTAGAATAGATTCAAAAGCAACTGATGGCAAAGGAAAAGCAGTGACCTTGGATGTCTGGGTCAGGTAAAGGACAGATCTGCAAGTCCAAGGGAACTGTACAGCTCCTTCTTTGACAAAATGGTGAAGATTCAGGTGCATCCTGCCCTGGAATCTCTGCTAGCTTTGGACGTGGATGCCATGAAAGTACATTTGTGACACCAGTTACTTAAATTCTTCTCTGGCACATCTGTTACCTTGGCTACAGGATTAAGCAGAAGGAGAAACTTGGTGAGGCAGGTTCAAGCACATCAGCAATAGCAGACTTAAAAACTAATCAGTCAGATGCCTCCTTTCCCAAATTCTCAATCCCCCTTGTGGTGTCTTGTTGCTACCATCACTTTGACTCTGTCTTCCTGTCTCCTTTCAAAATAGGCCAGATTGTGGGAATGAAGGTTGTGCTGACCCTGTGGCAGGGTACAGTGAAGAAGCAGTTGGCAGAAATGGAGAGACCAAACCTCCCAGCACCCATGGTAGCAACAACAGTAAAGGTGGCAGCAGCAGTGAGTTGTCCACGCCAGAGAAGCCCCAAAACCAGAGATTGGGGCCATTCGGCAGTCGCTGGGAAACAACCGTGTCACTGGAGCCCTCCACTAGTGTCCCATTAACTGTAGGCTCACTCCCCAGCTCCAAAAGCTTCCTTGGAATGAAGGCACGTGAATTATTCCGCAACAAGAGTGAGAGCCAGTGTGATGGGGAGGGGGCAGTGATCATCAATAGCCTTTCTGATACTCTAAAGACTGAACTCTGTAAAGAGCCAAGCATGGAGGTAAAGACTCTGCCAGGCCCCGAGAACCCCAGTCCCTCGTTGAACAACCAGGAAAGCAGTGTTGGACAGCTTCATATCATGGACTATAATGAAACTCATCATGACCACAGTTAAAAAGGAAGATAGTCAATCAGTGTTATTTTCATATTCTTGGCATAGAACAGGAGGTGTGAATGCAAGTTTAACTAAAAGCTTTTGTTTCGTGGGTCTGAGCGGCTAGCTCGTGCAGCGGAAACAGGATTAACGTCCATTAAAAGAAAATACCTACCAAATGATTGCAAAATGGATTTGGGGTCTGGAATTGTAATGCCCAGCCTAACTTTTGCTTCTCTCCTCAAATCCAATCTTTAGCAGCTTGTACTAATTTGAAGGGACAACTGTTAGCATTTGCAGGTGTGTGTTTTTGGTTTGGTTTTTTTTTTTTTTGTTATTTTGTTTTGTGGGAGAGGTTCCCCCTTTCTCCTCTCTCCCTACCTCCACCCCCATTCCCCCCCGCTTCTCTCCTTCCCAGTGAGTGGCTGCATCCTATGAACTTGAGTGCAATATGAGGCCAAATTAACATGTAACCATCTTCATATTAATGCTTTGTTTTTTCTCAGCTAGTTTCCGGTTAGAGCAGCTCACTGTGCTGCCCTTGCAGGTGATATTTGGCTACTTTTCTCCTAGAAAGGAGTAAAAAACAATTTTTAGTGCACTCATCGGACAGTCTTTTATTTGGCTCCACTTTCCCCTCTGCTCCCCCATACCCGAACCTTCATTTTTATGTTGGACTCTGGTCAAACGACTGGTTAAAGAACAGTGCATATCTGCAAAATTCTGCATTCACCCCAGTTCATAACCATTATTTTTGCTGTCCTTAATATTTCCTGGAAACTATGTGAACCAAGATTTGGTGGGGTCGGGGAGAGTTTCAGTTTCTTTTGAGGGTTGTTTCCTGTCACTCCCCAAGGAACCGAAGGTTGTAATGCAGAGGCAATTGCGTTTTGTTTTTTTCTTTTGCTGTAGTCTGTTAACTCTCTTCTGGGGTGGGAGGGTTTTGTGTTCGGTGTTTAATTGACACTGGTACTGACCTGACCAGTTGTGAGAGCTGAACACGCAAGGGAGAGGGTTTTGGGGTGGCCCCAAGGAGGACAGCCTGTAGAGATGGTGTGCAAAGCAACGGGTTCACTAACTTTTGGGCAAGAATGTGTTTTCTTTCAGAAGAAACAGCATTTCTCAAAGCTGGGAGATTCTTGTGCTGTCTTGCCTCTTTTGATCATGGTCTTTGTGCCCAGCCTACCAAGACCATCACATCCTGCATCTAAGAATCTCTGCTTTCTTTCCCAGGAGTAGCTTTTCCAAGCCTGAGTCAAGAACCATTAGACAGATGCCAAAGGATGTGTTGCCCTCTCTACCTCCTGTGCTCTTGCTCCCTTTGCTGCAGGGGTTCTTTCAGTTCTCCCTGTGTCCACCCAACTCTCTCCCTGTCTTTTAGGTACCCTTCCCCCTTCCACTGTCCCTGAGAGATTGTGCGCTGCCTTTCCAGTGGATGTAGCTGAAAGTGAAGTCCAGAATCCCATCCTGCAGCCTTTCTGTGTTTGTTACTCCTTTTGAAGCCAGTGGAAGAGTTTCACATGCAGAAGGGCTGTGGGACCAGGCATTATGACATGGATCAGACTTGACTTGACTTTTTGGCAGAAGAGAATCTTTTATTGGGAAAGCTAAAAGCCCGGATTTGTCTGGGGCAAGGATCACTTAGTCTGTAATGTGAATCCTGTCAGGCTTCTGAACTGCACTGCATCAGTGTTCTACTTTGTAGATCTAGTTTTTCTTAAATGCTTAATGTGGACAGCAGGTGTTTTTAAGACTCTTCCCTCCCTCCCCTCCCCATAAAAATAATGTCACTTGTCTTAGTGTTAGTAGCTTAACCCCTTCTTAACCTCTAAATAGGGACAGAACCTGTCAAAGAAGGCTGGCATTCTGCTAGCTTGAGAAACAGAGCTGCTTTCTTCCTGTGACCCTGACAGTACCTCCCTTGTGTTTCCACCTCTCCCAGAACTCCTAGGTCTAAAATACATTTCAGCCTCTCTGACATTAACATTATACTGAATGCCCTACTCAATGAGTCAGTCCTAACTCTGAAAGTGAAGGTGAATTTCAGTGGCAGTGTCAAAGCGCGAATGTGCGTGGAATAGAAAACAGAGGTCCGTGGTACGTGACAGACTAGTTCTGCTGACAAGTCTGTAGACTAAGATTGCATGATTGCTGCAGTAGAAAAGGATTCTATGCAGATTTGGAGGCTTTCTTCCCCTCGCCCCTACCAAGTTCTGGTCCCTCAAAAGCAAATGGTTTGCACATGGCCCTTGAAAGGGCTGGCTCAGCAACTGGATGCAGCTTTTACAGGAATCCACTAGACCATCCTTTTCATTTCTCAGAGTGTTTGTGGACTAGGCTGCTACATGGCGATTCACTTTTTGGTTGCAGGGCTGTTTTTGTTGTGTAGTAGCAAAACTGTCCTTGCGTTCCCATAAGCTCATCAGTCGGTGGCCCTTTTGTATTTTAAAAGGGTTTTAGCACTGGCATGGTATTGGAAACCACTTTTACGGTTTATCTATGGACCACAGAGATTATGGAGGAACAAATTTTTGCCATTGTTTTGTAAATCTAAAATCATGGATCTGCTGTATGTAGTTAACTTGCAGTTTATTTAAAGGGATTCCATCAGTGAAGTGGAAACAGATTTTTTTTTTTAACTGATTGCTTTTAGTTAAATCTAAAGATGCTGTCATTGTCGAAAGTTGATCTGTTCCCTGCCTCGCTCTTTGTAAGCATGTTAAACAATCCACATTAAATGCCATAAATATGAAATGCAAGGAAAAATGGTACAATCTAAGCTAAAGAGAACCTAAACCAAAAGGAGGTTTTGCTGTCCTTATTAGAATGTTCTAAAATGTCAAGGCAGTTGCTTGTGTTTAACTGTGAACAAATAAAAATGTATTGTTTTGCACTACTTTGTGTTGAGCTCTCTGCAGGCTGGCCCTTGTGAGCAGAGCATTGATGGTGCTCTGCACCGAGTCAACATGAGCTTTGCACAAAGCAGAGGAGTATTTAAAGCACCTTTCTGAGACAAGAGTGTCTTTAGTATGGGCGTTACACAACAGAAGTGTCCTATATAAGCAAATGTGTTTCATTTTGTGCAAAATAGCCTTCATGCTGACATAACTGAATAATACAGAAATTGGATGTCATTTTAAGTCTTGGAAACCTCTCATTTCTAAGGTAAGCTAGCAAAATGTGTTTGTGAGCAATGAGCTTACCTGCAAGCAGTCTGCATATTGAACTAATTTCCATAAGGTTATTACCCTTTGGTCTGGGTGATAGGAGTGCGGTCTGAGTGCTGTTCATCCTTCAAACAACCATTGATAGTGGAGAATCGCAGCAGCTCAAAGTACCATCGTCCCCACAAAGCCTGCTTAAAGGAAATGTTTTATTCCAGATGGCAGCTTTGGGGAAGCTGTACTTGCCTTCCCAAAGAAACTGAGTATGAGTGAAGTCATCATCACCTTGAAAAGTAGCAAAGGAGTTGTAGGTATCTTCTGAAAATGAGCTAGGTAAAATCAAGTGGCTGTATAGCTACCCATCTTTAAAATATCTGATTTTTGTATTGGATGTCTAGTTAGAATTGTGGCACTTAATGCTATTTGGTAAGGCTGTGTCCACGCACATTCCTTTAGGAGACATTTACAAGAAGCGTGCACAACCCTTGAAATTGTGTCCACTCCAAGAACCAGCAGACAGCCTCGATTAACCTCCAATACAAGGAATAACCTTCACATATGCAAAAAGTGTGGTATTGGAGACTGAATGGTGCCCCCGTAACACTGTTGGAACTGTACAAATACAACTTGAAAATAGCCGTTCTTCAAACTTGAATCTTCAGTGGTACAGTTCATGCTAAAAATTTTAATTTTTATCCTCGGGCACTTTTTTTTAAATGCACAGGGGGAGAGGTAAAGTGAGAGGGAAGCGCTGTGATATTTCTTCCCCAAAACTTTTATTTAGGGATGAACTTTCCCAAGTCGATGCAAAGCCTTTCACTCCCCTAAGTAAACACTTTTTGAACCCAATTGGTGGGGTTTAGGTGATGCTGACGATGTCATTTGGGCCTTCCTGCGTTGAAGTGAATTTTACAACTGGACAAAAGCCAGAACCAAGAGTTTTGATTTCACTTTTTTTAGCGTTTTATCATAGCATGGAAAACAGAGCATTATTTGCAGAAGTAATGCCACAAAGGTACAAAAAGAGAAATACAAAGCATCTTCCTTCCTTACTAATGCTAAGCAGGATGCTCAGTATCTCATAAACACAACCATGAATAATAAACACTTTGCACAGTAGGTAGGCGGGACTAAATTATTCATTTCATTTCATTTCATTTCCTGAAACTGAGAAAGTATTGCTCCTTGAATCCTGATTTATAATTTCACCCACTTCAACTTATTGGTGCAATGGCCTGGTTTTTAAAAAGATACTTGCTATTTTACCGAATAACCTGGGAAATGAGCAAGTAGTGAATTATCCAGCTACCTTCTGAATTTACATTCAAACTAAGGGCTGAACTTTGCAGGAACCCTGATCAGAAATTAATCCCAGTCCACAGTTACTGCAGCTTTCCTCCGAACTCATGGTTCCTCTTGCATTCCTTTCTACACACCTGGCTTTCCCTGTTGAGCTGCTGTCTACAGGCTGGTTTGTTTCTATTTGCTTCCTTGAAAGCTGCTTTGAAAACCTGACCACTAGAGGCCTCCATGACTCTGCCACCTCATTCTAAACTATGCTTTTGAGGTGCTTTCTGTAAGTTCCCTGCTAGTTTTTCTCTACTGTCATCTTGACGGCTTTCAAAGTCCAGTCCAACTCTGACTTTCTCCAGCTGACAACGGTACTTCTACCTCAACTCTTTGTGACCCAACAGGATCCTGCTTCTATACCTGTGTCTCAAATCCTAAACACATTAAAAACCAAGTCTTCAACGTAAAGAGCATTTAGATTTGTATACTGGTTGACAAAAGCCTTTTTTGTTTTTCTTCCCCTGTCTAAGTCAGGTCGTAGCATTTGAGTAGCTTGTTAGTTGAGATGCAGCTGAATTGTTTTGGAATCCTATATAGCTGGCTTGTATCTGTATTTCAGTCTTTCACAGGAAAAGCAAGGAAGCTTTGTTTGTCAGTTGCTTCCTAAGAGATCGTCAGGTAAGTTAGTTTGGCTGCCTGCCAGGCTGCTTTTTTTGTCTTCCAAGTTTCAAGTTAAAGCTGAACTTTACTACAATTCTGTGTTAAATTCCTAAAGCCATTAACTGGATGATGAAAAGATGGTACATTCTCTCCATAGCTAAGGCTGGTGCTAAATTTTTAAAGAAGGATTTTTGCATTAACCTATCAAGCTTTGATCTTTCATGTGATCCTCATCCATTGTACAGAGACCTTGCGTGAATTGTTTTCAGGCAAGTACTTTTTTTGAGATGTGCCTTGAGACCGCTGTCATGTTAAACTTGATGCATAACGTGTCGTTATACAGTGACATGTTTCTTATGCGAGGGTCCTTGATGAGTTTTCAGTGTGTAGGAGTGGTTTTGAGGATGGAGGGAAGTTAGTTTTGGAGTTGATCATTTGTACAAAGATCTGAGATCCTGCATATATCAGGATCTCTGTCAAATCATAATGGCCTGCTGAGTTAAGCTGTTGGGCACCATAGTTTTGAGGGAGACCTAGGAGGGGGCTATTATACAGGTAATCTAACTACATCAATACAGTTGGGTTACCTGCATAATAGGTAAGCAGAGCAAGTTAATATAATCTCCCAGATTAATGTGATAAATTTGGTAATAACCCAAGGTTTCAAGTTTATGCCACCTGGAAGATTGTTAAAAAAAAATAAAACAGTTTTCAGATGTTAAAGGAATATAGGTGTGGTGTGAGCACAGCACAGGGAGCAATTAATAGAGTTCTAGTGTTACTTCTGTGGCTTTGAGCAAGTCATTTGGTAAGTCTGTGTCCCAGTTTGCCCATCTAAGGGAGGTAAGATATTTGCCCACTCATGAAAGTTAGTTGCCAATTGTGAAATGCCCGGTAGGTGACACCTGCTGTGGCTGTCCTAATGTATTTTACATTGATTCTAGGAAGACGCACAAGTCTTTGGCTGAACACTTTAACCTCCCTGGACTTCCATTGCTGAACTCCGAGTGGACAACAAAACTTAGACAAAAAACCTTCTAAAAGTAACTTAAACAGGAAATGGCAGAACAAGAAATCATCCACAGACTGGATTGTTAAGTATGGAGTATCCAAGAAGACTATGGATTCTTATCCCATTACCTGGATTAGCTTTTGTGACCTCTATGTCCCTCAACGGATCAGCTACTTTTTTTTTTCTTTCTCCTACCCACCTTGCCTCTCTCAGCAGTGCTCCATCTTCTCCTTCTCCTCCTCCCCTCCCCCCCCCACTTCTTCAACCTTTATATTCTAATCAGTGCTTTTTAGAAGCTTTGCTTTTTTTCCCCCTCCCCAACTTAAGCCACCTCTATGGCACAGCAATTATTACATAGTCCAAGTTGGACAGGCTGATTTTTTTTTTTCCTAGCATCCCATTAGCAGCTATGTCTGCTGAACAGCCTCTACCTCCTCTTCTTTTAGAATTCCAGCTCATTTCAACTGAGCAGGATCTTTGTCCTAAAAAATAAAGTTTGCTGAAGATATTCCTTCCAGCTCCAAGCTGGTCAAGTGTCTGTGGGACAGAAAATGGGGAGAACTGAGCATGACAGAAAAGGTGGAATGATGGTTTACCTGTAGTTGCGCCCTAATCTTTCTACATTGCTACTTCCTCCTGCCACTCCCTGGTCCAACCTTCCTGTCTCAGCTGATGCTTGTTGCAAAAATCTAATCACCTTAGGGTAAAAGCACTCCTATCATTTTGGCAAACAGAGCCATGCATGCAAGGGAAATGGTTTTATTCAGGTGTGTCTTCTGGCAGGAGGCAAGGAGAGCAGGAGCTAATAGGCCTGTAGAAGGGGAAAAGAGCAAGCAGATGCAGGGAAATTAGACATTGTGCTGTGGTGATCATGTTAAGAACTTCACTAGCAGTGCTTTAGCAATACCAATAACTCTTAAGTGGCGGCTCTAAGGGAAAAAAAGCCTAGGAGCAGACTGGCCCCTATCACATGGCTTTGGAAAATTAGCTGGCTCCTTGGCCTCTGCAGAACATCTATGATTTATACCCTTCTATATACCATTGACTGATCTCAAATACCTTACAACTGTTAATAAACCATGCTTTACAAAAAGCCCTGTGAGCCAGGTAAACCATGGCCTTGTTACAGAAAGAAAAGCAGAGGCACAGAGACCTTAAAGCGCTGTTCTGTTTTGCAGAGATATGATGAAAATGAGCAAATCTGCTTTCTCTTCTGGAGTCTCATGCATTGCTATAGTGATAATGTCTCCTGTTAGCCCTGCTGGACTATTGCAGCTCTAGAAGAGTGAGCTGGCTTATATCGGGTTCCATCAACTAACCACACTTCAACTGCAGGATCAAATTCTGTCCTCAGGGACACCTCTGCATCCCCACTGAAGGTCAAGAAATGGACCGTGTGCAACTGAAGACCGTTTGGCCCATGATCTTCACTGGGTGAGACAATGCTATGGGCTTATGCTTGGGATAACATGCAACTTTGTGTTAGGGACCCATTTCCTACTAACCCCAAAATATTTGATAGGAAATTGTGTGCATTGAGCCTCAAGTGACTTGCTCACTACACAGCAGCTGTGAAAGTGAAAATGTGGCTTAGTCCTGAGTGCATCCCCTACTCTTGCCACCAGGCCTTTCAAGGGGGAATATGTGATGCCATTCTATTGAGATGTGGCTTTCCTGGAAAGAGGAAGCAGGGGATGAATCAGAGGAGGAGGGTAGGTTATCTGCTTCAAAAGACTTCAGGATGAGCCATCCAGACCTTGGGTTAAAAAAGGGAAGGGAATGACTGAAGTGGATACTAGAGACCACATATAATCAGCCCTGCTATGCATAGGAGAGAAGTTTTGGCTCTTTAAAAGGAGTGTTTACCAGGTGGCTTCCAGGGACCATTGAGAAATCTCCCAGTGTGACTCCCTGGTCTCAAGTGCTTTTTACCATCCTTACTTCTCTGGTCTTGTGCACGGTTTCTGCAACTAACCAAAGTCTGAGTGGCCACGTGGGAAGCAGGAGGCAGACCTGGGAGAGCCACTGCCCTTGCTGATGCCTCCTGCCGTGCTTTCACCTGAGAACCAGCCCTTTGGTCACTCACGTCATGCAGGACGTGCCGAGGTAGCTTCTCAGCATGGGCCATCCATTCCTTCATGTAGTCTGTCACTATAGGAATGAGGCTCACCACCCCTCCGTAGTGATTCCTTGCTTCATCGCAGCTCAGGTGATTCACCACATCATGGGGGTACCTGGGTGACAGAAGAAAGCATTTATCAAAGCAGCTAAGGATGTGTGACTGCAGAGAATGCACAAGCTAGTTTTAGAATCACTCGTGAGAGTCACGACACACTCCCAAGACAAAGGGGCAGTGATAGAACCAGGCCTTGTGGCTGAAATTCCTGCCACAGTGGCATCCTCCCTGCTAGTCCCAGCTGGGTGGTCCCCGGATGATCCGAGCGCATGTAAAAATACTAGTGTCCCTCTGCCCCTTGCTGAAAAGAACTTTACTGATGGGACGGGGTGGTGATGGCATTGCCTGTGCCTTCCATGTGCTAAGCTGCTCAAATGACCCTTTTCACCAGTACTAAAGCTTCCAAATCTTATATAAGAAAACTAAACATCTATGAATAGGACTGGGGGGGAAAGGGGAAGCTTCCACAGAATAGGGAAAGCCCAAAGTTGATGGCAGCCTCCTCCCCCATTAGAACGTAGAAGGGATTCATGTAGCTAGAATGGACATTTCCAGCGGGTGATCATGCACACGCATACTTGTGATCACTTCCCAGTCTGGTACATGAATGCACAATGCTGGCCACGTGACTAGAGAGAAAGATACAGAACTGATCTGCTTCTCTAGACCTACTTGGCTCGAATGTTGCTCAGGTTGTTGCTGTGGCTGAGAAGCACCTTGCATTTTTCCAAAATGCTGTTTGTGATGCTGTTACCAGGGTGCACAGCTTCTAGCTTCTGACAGAGCATGGTCAGATCTTCACAGATGCTCAAGAACATGAGGAGGATGCGCCTGTCGGTGGCGTTGTTACAGTAGTGCTCCATGTAGCTCTGCACCTACGTAGCGCAACATGTGGAGGGAAGGGCAGTGTTAAACTGTGTGGAGACTGGTTGCAGATACGGTTGTGTGGTTTTCATGGCCTTATGTGCAAAACACCACATGTAGCTTGTGTTATAGCATGGGGAAGTTGCTCTTGCCCACTCTTATGCAGGCACAAGATGGAATTACGTGCATCAGAACTTCTGGATCCTGGAAACATTTCCCCTGTTACTGTACAACAGGATGTAGGGAGATGGGACAAGACAGATCCACTCATAGGCCAATCCATGAGCCATGCCCCAACCCCCTGAGCAGAAGTGTGGCAGGGCTACCCCAGCTTCAAAGTTACAGCACTGTACAGCAGCTGCTAGGTGGCAGGGCAGCGTAAGGGGAGAATTTCTTGTTTCCATCCTAAGTGGCACATACCCTGAGCTAAGCGCAGCTGCCCAGGCTGAATGCAAGGTGGAAGACAGAGGCTCTAGCTTGTGAGCATTTTGAGGTAGAAACACTAAGGTATATGCACAACACCCTGACTGGTCTAGGCACTGCTGCAGTGCCTACTTAATAATCTACAGCATTAAACCTTAGGTGTTGTCTGCCTCAAGCCCCTTATCTCTACTGGATTTTTTTTTACTAGATAACACAAATGGAAACGGTATTGTGCAGCAAAAATACTTGGGTTACCTGTAAAAGGTGGGGACTTGAAGTGTAGGTATTTTGGTATTCAAAAAAGATTGACTTTTTTTCTTCGTTTGTTTGTTTCAAATGTTGTGTTTTTCATGAAAGGCTCAAAGTCAGACAGGGATGGTTTGGGGAACTAAAAGATGTTGTTAAGTTGCTCATTTAAATCCAACCCAGACTGGTCCAGCTAGAGTTCCACCTCTGCCTGCTATGCAGCTGGCTTGTGCCATTGTAATATTTAGTGACTAAACATCTAGGAACACAAGGTGTCTGGACACTTGCCTAAATAGGGAGCAAATTCCTGGCATCTCAGCAGATAAATGAAATCCTAAGGAAATCTGATCCTACTGATTCAGATTTTACTCAGTGTCTTTGCCTTGCAGGTGGAGAATTTGTTCTTGGGGATAATTCTGTTGCTCACTGCACAGCCAATATTCTCTTTGTATTTTGATTTCTCCACAGTGTCTAAATTCTTCCCCCTCTTTAAAACAGCCAGTTTTAAAAATTCCATGACAATTCACTTACCAGCCCAGAAACCCCTGCCCCACTTGGGACCTTCAGCCCCCAATCCATCACTCTGCTGCTGTAGCACAGCCATTATTTTTAATAAGCACTACAGAAAGACACAGTGGTAACAGTACTGGGGGTGGGAAAAGGCAAGCCAGCTAGTTACTCCACGTTAAGGTTTACAGATGTCGTGTGGCAGAGAAGAGGGTTAGTCTTCCTTGTACCACAGATCTGGTTAAGCCCAGCATGGTGAAACAGGGGTGGTTGGTTAAATTATCTAAACTAGTGCTTAGCAGTACGTATTATTTTGTATAAACCATTAAGTTACCGTGTGTCTGGGGTTTTGTTTTTTGCTGGGTGTTTTTTTTATAGCCTTGTAATACCGAATTAACAAATAGATGATGCCAGAGAGGTTTGTCTGCTTCCCCCCTGCCCCCTCCTGAAAATATTTATTCATCGCTGATATACTTCAACTACATGACAGCATTATGCTGTTCCCTGTCTCTGCTAGCTGGGATCTGTGCGCCGAATGCTTTGTACCTGTCCAATGCTTGCCACAGGCCTGATCTTGTCATGGGCATTCTCTCGGGTGTGTTCCAGTGCTCCGACAAATGTAAACTGCTGCTGCTGGAAGAGTTTGTAGTACTGCTCTATGTTTCTCAGACTCTCCTTCACCTCATTCATTTTTCCCCCTCCTGGATTTGGGAAGGGGAGAGGGGAGGACGTCAGTTTTTTTTAAAATGATGCGATTTTACATGTGTTGCTTTCTTTCACCTGCAGCTGTAACCATACAGGTTGAGTTGCAAAATAAAAATCAAGGAGAGAGGAAGATATATTTTGTCAAGGCGCTGCAGTCCCAGAGCCCCAAACAGTAAGTCAATGAGGTAGTAATGATGCTGCAAAAAGAGGTAGAGAACCCAGAGGGGACCACTGACAATCAGATGCCATAAACCCTAGTGGGTCTATTGTAAATATAATGTAGCAATGCATCAAACACAATGCTGTGAAAGGACCAGAGGGAGAAATGTCTTCTCTTACTTCGTGTAAAACTATTGCCCAAGTGGCTTAAAAACTCTAACATTAAGTGAAGGCTAGCTTGATAGGCATATATTGTGATGGAACAAGGGAGACATGGATGCGAGGTTAACCTCTGGCTCTCGCATCCAAGCTGGGGCCCTGGCAAGGGGTGCTGATTTCCAGGCCTGGTCTTGAACAAATGTTGAGGCAGTGCAAGCACTGGGGAGACATATCAGTTTCTACAATTTTCCCTTGATTCCCCTTAATTGTATTGTCCCTTCCCTACCCCCCACTTCCTCCTTTAAAGCTACTGCTGTTTCTGCCTTTTTTAAAAAAATCTTTTCTGTGTTTCAAATTAAACCATATAAAATGAAGTTCATAACTATCCATATTTTC